AGTGGAGATTAAGGGTACACAATAAAATGATGATACATTGATTCCAACATGGGAAATCTAGGAAGACTTCCTAGAGGAGGCAAAATGTAGCTGCAGATGTCCTCCACAGAACAGGAAGGGTAAGGGTATTCCAGGCTGAGAGAACTATGTGAGTTGTTACAGAGTAGTAAACACTCATGGATCTACAAGGAACAAGGAGAAAGGGTAGTAAGAATGAAGCCTTGAAAAGTTAGCTAGAGCCAGATTGTGGAGAGCCTTCAGAGTCACGCTGGGGACCACAGACACTATAGGAAATGGGCAGCTACTGAAACTGAAGAACATGAGCGAGAAATGATTATTACTTTTTTGTTTGGGGCTCATTTCTTTGTTTCATTGGGTTTTTGTTGCTGTATTTAATTATTTACAAGCTATAAGAACATTTAACAAGGTTACCAAATACAAGATGAACATAACACTAGCAATGAATAATTTAAAATTTTATTTAGATAAATCAATTTTCAATAACACCACAATTAAAATATAACGGGATAATCTCACAAAAGATGCAAAGTGTCTTTCTGAGAAAATTATAAAACCTAATTAATGAATATAAGAAAAATTGTAAGTAGAAAGATATACCATGCTCAAAAATGAAAAGGCATAAATTGATTTATGAATTCAATGCAATGCCAATGAAAATCTTACAAAGGTTATTTGTGATATTTTACAGGCCAATCACTCCACACATTCACATGAAAGAGAAGGGGCCAAGTTTGTCAAGAAAATTTTGAAGAAGAAAAAGGGTAGATATCAAAACCTCCCAGGTATCAAAACATTTTAAAACTAAGTGACCTGAGATTGGCCCAGAGATATTAGTTGTGGTTTCACATTTCTTTGTTGGGTTAAAGAAATAGTGTGGAGAAGGAAGATGGGAAAGATGACAACTCTCTGACAAAAAAGAGATGAACTCCCTCAAAGTGACTCACCTACTCTAAATCAGAGTGACCCTGATCTTTAAACAGAGTGACTGAGCTCTTAAATAAAGACAAAAGCTATTTTCAAAAGAAGAATTTGTACCACAGAAGCCTGTCCTAAGAATAATAATTCTTAGTAGTTGGAGTGAAGCTTCAATCAGCCACCTGGCATTTGCCAATTGTTTGATATGTGCTAAAAACATAGGAGTCAGAAGATGAAATTGTAAGCACGCTATCCTGGGTCTCAAATAGCCTGTGACAAAATTGAGAGGCAGAAGTCACACATGAAATAACTAAAGAATCTGCTTACAAAGTACCATACAAATATAAATGCAAAAAACTACTGAGAGTTACAAGTTAGAAGGGTAACCATAGGCAGATGTGCTCAGGAAGATATTCTGAGGTGGATCTGGAATATGAAACCAAAACTAATATCTCTGGTCACTTAGTTTTAAAATGTTTTGACACCTGGGAAGTTTTGATATCTACCCTTTTTCTTCTTCAAAATTTTCTTGACAAACTTGGCCCTTTCTCTTTCATGTGAATGTATGGAGTGACTGGCCTGTGAAATAATCTTTGTGAGTTATTCTGAGGTATGCATTGTCATGGAGAGCACTGCCACTTATCTGCCATTGGTCCATCATGACTCAGGCATATAGAACGACAGCACCAAAACCATCGAGGTGCACTGCTGACTGCATCTAAATTCTGTCAAATCATAACCAACCAACCTATCAAGGCACAATTTCAAAATCTGTCTTCCTCTGTAAGAAATTAGCTAATGATCCTGTCTAAGGTTTAAGAAAATGATAGGTTGTCTACTTCTTGTTCTCTTTCTTGTTTTATGAAGCTGCAACGAATTTCTTCCCCTGGGGACTCTTTATTTTGGGCCTTAGATCACTCACAACTGTAGCTTTCAAGGTAAAGGACACCGACATGGAAAGAACACAGGTTAATACCTGGTGGGGGATGATTCCTCTCTTTGAAAAGTTTATTGGCTTACTGTTTATACAATCACATATCCCAGGAGGACATAAAAGGAAATACATATTGTATTCTAATGATGTTCTCTTGCAGGACCATTGCCTACACTGCGCATCATTAAAACTATAGACTGTTAGTGTCAGGCACTGGCCCACTAGAGCTTTCTAAACCATTTATTCACACTAGCTCACAGAACTAACTTTATATATCCAGGAACCAACATTCCAACTGGAAATACCTGAGTTGGGTGTTGGCTCATCCATATTTCAACCAAAAGGCAATGTACCATAAAGTGCATATTGATAAATCTGCAATGATTAAGACAACGACATAAAATCTCATTACTTAAAATAAACTCACTGCAGTTTATATAGTAATATTTCTCATCCATGTCCAAAATCAACTGTTCACATGCCAGTCACAGTTAAATATAATTTTCCACAATCTTGGTAAATGGGAGGTAATGAAGAAGTCCTCAGGTCCAGCTCCAAAGCAGCACGTAATACATTTCTGACATTAATAAAGAGAAGATGGGGGAAAGGCTTCCTGACAATAACTGACACTTGCAATGCAGCAAGGTTCCCTGAGTTCTGATATTATATTTATTGGAATTATACATAGGTACATAGTTTAGGAGGTTCATAAGTCATTTGCTATTGCTTCTGCTATCACTGCAGTTACTAAAATTGAGATTAGAGCCACTACTTCTTGAATGAGCTCTTCTAAATTCTTAGCTTGTTTGATCTCAGATGAGCCTCGCTACAACCCTATGAGAAATTACCCTGCTTGCCATTTTGCAGTTGAAGAAACTTACACAAGGGGAAGTTAAGTACTGCACAGCCTTGCAGGCAAAGATACTTAACCAGTTTTGATTCCAGAGCCCAAGCTCTTAACCATTTCCTTGTCTGTTTTCCTAGTTGCAGAGCCTTTTTGTATGATTGCTCATTAGTTATATGTGGGTAGGTGGATAGCTCAAAAATTTCTAAATAAGGTCTTACAGGTATCATTTTAGTTGAAAATAGGGGATTAGGGCTCTCACTTGAAGATATATTTCAATAGCAAAACCTATTTTAACTTAGATGCTACAGTTATTTGGGATGGTTTATTTGGGCTAATTAATAGAGTTTGGAGGGGAGAAGAGTTAAAGCAGTCCAAGCCATCCTTTGGTATCACTAATATGAATCACATTACTATATAGTGCCATTTTCTCTTCGGTTTCCTGAAGAAGGGATGTGTGCTAGGATTTGTCCTCCTCTTACATCTTCAAGCTTATCTGTACTATGGAACCCAGTACTAAATTAAATTACCTTTTCCTTTCTGATTTTTTTTTAATCCAATCCACTGAAAAGACACACAAGCTACTGTCACACAATGCCTAGATAATTGTTCAATTAGATGTGGGGGAAAATATTCACATCCACTAGCTACAAAGTATCATGCACACAGAGCCACTTTATCTTTTTCTCCTAGTCATACATAATTTAGACCTTGGTGTTCCATTTCTCTCTTAGAAAGTATAGTTGTTCTGGGTTGATGTTGAACAAAACCAGAAACCTGTTGAAGACAAAAATGAAATTTTGCCTCTAGGTAAAATTTTGAAGTAGGAAAAACTATTCTTAGTGCTGTAGTCCACTCCGAGGCAATTCATTTGAGTCCCAATCTTACTCTGAACTACAGGGTATTAGGATTATCTTACTCTGAACTACAGGGTATTAGGATTATCCCCTACAGGTGTTATCTGAGAAAGGCTGTTATCAACTCAGTACCAGCCTGGTGTCTTCAGGACTCAGTGGACTCTGGAACAGTACAAAACTAGCCTGAATCAGACAGATAGGTATTCGTGGGTAAATAATCTCTCTGGACCTCAGTTATATCCTCTGTAAAATAGGGATGACAATAAGTATATCCTAAATGTCAGGAAGATTAAGCATATTCTTTACGTAGACTGAGGAGCACAGTACCAAACAGCAGGAAACAGATAAATAGTAGCTATTTGGTGTTATAAGCATAGAGCCGTGGGAAAAGTGTACAGTTTTGAAGGAATCATTTGTGTAGTTATTCTTCCTTTCCTTCCTCTGTGAGTGATAAAGATGTGCTGAATGGTTTTTAAAAATAAAAAAATGTTAAGTGCCATTCATCTGTAGTGAATAACCTGAATATACACTTGCAGACCAAAGGTGGATTTAAGTCTTGTTTTAAGTCTCACAGTACATCAAACAGAATGGTAAAGTACCTTTCCAAAGGTTAAAAAAAAAAAACCCAAACAACTCATTTTGGGCAAGTAACAAAAACTGTCATTTAAAGGTGTGAAAATCATGCTTGAGAAAATGTTTAGATGAAAATAGAGAAGACAAAATTGTGGCGATTACGTATTGTGGGAAAAGGAAATTACTTAACCGCACTTGAGGTGAAGTTACAGTGTATTTAAGGCAAATAAGTCATAAGGCAAAATGTAAGTACGTTAATTAATTCACCATATATTTGTTGAATGCCCACTGCTTGCCAAGCACAAACAAAACCATTCACAACCACTAACTCTGCTTTCTCGGGACCCAGCAGCCTTCTCCAGAAGGAACAGCACTATCTCGGTTAACACCTTGCGCCAACTTTGCCACGGAGCGCGTCACTTAACTAAAGGAGTAAGTCGACCACGCCCTCTTTCATAGGCCTCGTGCGTTCACGTCACCGCAAATAGAAAACGCCAAGACGTTACCTACGGTGTCCCACGAGGAAATGGAGCCGTTTCAAGCATTCACTTGTTCCGCCCAAGTAAAAGATGGCGCTTGATGCGTCAGCCACCCCTGCTGCCCGGTTACTTCCCCTCGGGGGCGGGGTCTAGAGAGAGCAAGAGGCGTGTGTTTCCTTGGTGTGATTTTGTTTTTCCCGCCCTTTCTCCCCTTTCTTTGCTCTCACTTTATTTGCCGAGAGTGAACGAGGAAAGAGTCCACAAAACTTTAACCAGAAGACCACAAAGTGGGAAACAGGCACGGCGTGAAGCGGATGCCGGGTCGAATGCGAGCGACTGGCCCGGCCCGGCCTGGGGGCGTGGCCGGAGGCGGGGCGGGGCGGGGCTGCGGTTGCGGTCCCTGCGCCTGCGGCGGCGACCAACGCGCAGCTGGTGGCGAGTGGGTGAGTGAGAAGCCAGCCTGCCCGCGACTGTTTAGGGTCGGGGTACCTGGACGGCTATATGCGGCGGCAGGGACCCTACCCCTGGTTCTCCTCGTTCTCTCTTTTCTTTTCCGTGACCGAAACCGGGCATCGGGTTTCCCAGACTGGCGACTAGTGGCGGTGCCTGTATCCGGGCCCCGGGCTTCCCGGCCGCGGCGGCACAGAGACAAGGGGATGGGTATTGAGTCTCTTACCCGCTTTCCTTCCCTCAGTCTCCGAGCCGGCTCTTTCCCGGGCACCCGGAGTGAGACCCAGAGGGACCGGTCGGATCCGCTGTGCCGCGGGCTCCGCGGCATAGAGCCTTGGGCACCAAGAGGCCTGGCTCCAGAAAGGCCAGAGGGCGAGCGGCGCGCGGCTGCCCCTGACCAAGTTAGGGTCAGAGAAGAGATAATGCGGGTTGGGGTGACGGTGTGGACGTACGTCTACAGAACTGTAGTTTCTGAGGATTGGTGATGCCTTGTAAATTTGGGCAGCAAGTCTAGACTGGGTTGTGCGCCTCTTTTGTGGAACATGACCTACTTGCTTCACAGCTCCGTGGTTACACAGACTTACTTAAAGGAAGTGACCATTGTAACTTGGGCATAACTTGACTGATGCTATCAGTTGCAGAAGTGCACTGATTACCGGTCTGCCATTCCCACACGGGTTCTGATTGGCTCCAGTTAGCTCTTGCAAGCTCTGTATTTAGGAGACAGAGAGAGGTCATGCACTTGCCAGAGAAATGGCCATTTCAGAAACAATGGAGAGTGTTAGGCTTTAGCAAAGTAGCAGGCTGGTTGTGGCCAGTGGATAAAATCCGTTTCAAACTGTTTCCATCCCCCGCCTATAATGCAAAGCAAGGGGACACAATATGTCTGGCATTACTTTGTACAAAAGGGACTGTTAGACATGATCTTTCACGGACTTTGGAAAACTTTTAACATAACAAGAACATTACAGAAGCAAAAATATAATTTATGGGAGGTTAATACAGAGTCAGAATACTTGAAATATGATGCTGTTATGTGACATACATACCTTTGCTAGAACCACAGCCAAACTCTGCTACTCTCTAGGAAAGGAAATCAGTTGGATTTGCTTCATGATGACTGCTGTTTAAACATATGAAACAAAAATGAGGGCTGTTATAGACCACATTACAGATTGTGCAGTAAGCTGGCATTAACCTGCTTCAGGAAACATAGGAGCTAAAGATTTTTTTTCTTTGTAAAGCTGGCAAAATAGTCTCTTTATTTGTCTCTATTAGTGGTCCAAAAATTTCCTTTCAGAGAAAGAAATAGAAAACCTATAGACCTCCTATCTTTGAAGCCTGCCCTTGGGCTCTGTGTTAAGTAGTTCAAAGGAGTGGTAGTTTATAGCCTGCCTATTTGAGAAATTTGAAGCTGTGAGAGAAAGCCTGATAGTGATATCTTGAACATCTCCTGACTATTGCCTGATAAAAATTTTGAAAGTGTCGCAGGCTGTCTGGTGTTACAAACAGTTCACTGTCAATAAAGTTGGTCTGAGGACGTGGTTCCATAGTGTAGCGGTTAGCATGTCTGCTTTACTTGGGTTCGCGCCCCAGTGGAGCCACGGTCCATGGTCTATGGCCATGCCACCCTGAACAAGCCTGATGTCTGATCTTGGAAGCTAAGAAGGGTCAGGCCTGGTTAGTACTTGGATGGGAGACCACCTGGGAAGACCAGGTGCTGTAGGCATAAATAATAAAAATAAATACAAATAAAAAAACAAAGTTGGTCTGGGGAGTCTCTGATAAGTAAGGTGTGGGCTTACTTAGGACCCTGCTTCTCTTAGGGCTGGGAGAAAATAAACAGCGTGACTACAAAAAGTGTGGGCTTTAATGATAGTTGACTTCTGATGTATACAATAGCAGTGGACCACTTTTAAATACCAGTCGGTGGCTGATTTTTAGCAAACGTTTAAGAAAAGGCAAAGCTTCAGACTTACTAGTCTAACAGTTTTAACAGATAATAATATAATCTGCATATGTTGGATTATTTTCAGAACGTATATCAAGTACATCTCATGAACTCTAATCTTTGTTTACAGGAGTGGCAAGCCACTGTGTCACCCAATTTGGATCCTGGCTTCCCTCAAAAGACTCTTAAGGCAAATGTTTGATGACCCTCTGGAGAAGCCAACACTACATGTAACTAAGATATATAGACTTAAAAAAAAATATTACTAGTTTTGAACGGATTTTTTTCCAGCCACATTTGTATATATGGGTTTTCCTCACCAAAATGATGACTTTAAGTGTTAGTAAAATCATTTTTTACATCTGTACTAATTATACTTCTCTATGACGTTTCATTTCTCAAATTACTACTTTTAGCAAGATTTAAAACTAAACAATTCAACATGATGCTTGTCCTTTGTTTTCTGTCTAATAACATTAGCAGTGAGACAATGTAATTAGTGGTCTATAATGGTTTAATTTTCATTATCATGTAAAAAGTTTTTTCATAATCCAAATTTTGCTATAGGGCTGAATTTAGTTTTAGGAAATTCTCCTTATTTTCAATGTAATGATAAAATACTTGAGTTGCAATATTGTCTTTATGATTATTCACCTTTTTTATCCAAAAAAATATATATATTACAATATATCGCTGTGTGTTTACTTAATTCATTTCCTTGGCCTCCAGTTTGCTGCTATTAGTGATGACAGTAGCATCATTACAGTTTCAATTCAAATTACATTTCTATCATTGTAAACTGCTTAAATTGTATCCAGAACAGTGGATGTTTTAAAGAAGCTATACAGCTTATATCCATTTATAATGTGATATAACACATTAAAAAATAAACATCCCCTAAATGCTGAAATAAAAGATACACACATAAGCACTGTCTGTGTGTTAAACCATTTCTGCACATTCTTACTGTAAAGCATCTTGCCAAGCTGTGTGTCCTTGTTCTTGACATCATGTTAAAAGTGTGCATCTAATATTCTAACAAAAGTTCTGCTTCTCCTCAGTCTCAACTCTCTTGACAAGATATAAAATCCTTTAAGTAAAATGGTTTACTTTGACATGAATTTTTAGATCAAATGTGTTTTCCCAAAGCAATCATGTAGGCAAAGATAGGAATGCCATACTTCAGCTAATAACTGCTATCCTTTACATGATGATTAGATTCCTCGATGTCACACTTGCTTAAATGAAATTGTCATTTTTTTCCATTTTTGGTCTTTAAATACAAATATTTGATTTTAATATTAAGCAAAAATGATTCACTTTACACTAATATCACACAAACTGCATTCTCAGAGTGATATATTTGAGTAAGTTGAGATATATGAGAGCAGTTTGTTCTTTTCTGTGTTGAATAACATACCAAATATTTTATCTCTGTCTTGGTGTTTTGTCATTTTAAACACAGTAATGGGCTTTAGTACCCTGATAGCCAGAGAGTTCATTGAGAATAACAGGAGTGTTTGCTCATGTTTTGTTATTGTTCCACACTATTGAATTTTTGCAATATTTTGTCCTCTGCCCCCGCCCCTTAGCAGCTTTTAAGGTATTTTTACTGTCACCTGTTTCCTAGGACTACCATAACAAAGTATCACAACACAAACTGAGTGATGTAAAACAACAAAAATTTATTCGAAGTTCTGGAAGCTAGAATCTGAAATAAAGTATCAGCAGGGACATACTCCTCTAAAGGCTTGAGAGAAGAATTCTTTCTTACCTCTTCTTAACTTCTTATGGCTTCCAGTAATTCTTGGCAGCTTTCCTTGGTTTGTAGCTGCTTCATTCTAATTTCTGCTCCCATCTTTGCATGGCCCCATTCCCTCTGTGTCTATCGCTCTAGGTCTTTACTTACAAAGACACTAGACATTGGATTAAGACTAACCATCATCTAGGATGACCCCATTTTAACTTGATAACTATTTCCAAATAAGATCACATTCACAGATACCAAGGGTTAGGGCTTGAACATATCTTTGGGGAGACACAGTTCAACCCACAACAAACATCAGTGACTTCTATTGAGCCCTCACCTTTCTTATTTATTCCTCTTTAGTTGAGATGGCTTAGGAACCAAATATTCAATTATATTAGAATTGCACATAGACTGGATATTGGGAACTGAATATCTATTCTATGAGCTTTAGTATGTAATAATTCATATGAATGTTCAGAATTTTTTTCTAGTTTATTATTTGCATTTCTAAGTAAATTTCTGAATATAAATGACAAGTTACTATGTATTGCAAAATTATAGCAGCAAATGGTTAATGTGCACCTGCCATGCTAGTTGAATGTCTCTGTCCTGATGGGAGACATGCTTCCAAATCTTTTTTGCTTCAAGGAAAAAGCCACATATGCCTAAATTATTTGGGTTTTTGGTGAATGATTTTAAAATTGTTTAACCTAATCATTGATTTTGTGTGTCCTTGTTTAGCTATCCCTGGAGCATGTGGATAATGTAACAGTTGGGATGCAGTGATGTCGACGCTGTGTCCACCACCATCTCCAGCTGTTGCCAAGACAGAGATCGCTTTAAGTGGTGAATCACCTTTATTAGCAGCTACCTTTGCTTACTGGGACAATATTCTTGGTCCTAGAGTAAGACACATTTGGGCTCCGAAGACAGAACAGTTACTTCTTAGTGATGGAGAAATAACTTTCCTTGCCAACCACACCCTAAATGGAGAAATCCTTCGAAATGCAGAGAGTGGAGCTATAGATGTAAAGTTTTTTGTGTTGTCTGAAAAGGGAGTAATTATTGTTTCATTAATCTTTGATGGAAACTGGAATGGGGATAGGAGCACATATGGACTATCAATTATACTTCCACAGACCGAACTTAGCTTCTACCTCCCACTTCACAGAGTGTGTGTTGATAGATTAACACACATTATCCGGAAAGGAAGGATATGGATGCATAAGGTAAGTAGTCTTTGAGCTTATTAATCATACTAACTTAACTGCTAAAAGCTTATCTTCTGATACATTTATACCTAATTTTTAGAAATGATATACAATTAACTTGAAACAGCTATTATTTTCATCTATCTTATTAGATTCAGATAGATGTAGTCTGATGTCTATGATATTCATAATAACTCTGAAAGATAGGAGATGGTATCTCCACATTACAAATAAAAAGTTAAACTTAGAGTAATTAGGAGAAATAATAAGTTTTGTAGTCTAATTATCTTGAGATCCTTTGACTCTAAAGCTTTTTTTTTTTTTGGTCATGGATGGGATTGTATGACTATTTCAGTTACTACTGTGTGTGAGTACAAGCATTTCAAAACAGTTGTTTCCTAAGCAGTTGGCCATGGATCCTTTGGTCCCTTTAACTTCTTTGCCAAGTTCCCATATTTGCAAAATGAGGAGATTAGATCAAATGGTTTCTAGGAGATATTAATTTCATTTTCATATCATAAATGATATTTTTATTCATTTTTTTCCTTTTGCATATTGAGCTAGAGGAAAATATTGTTATCCCCTAAGTCCTATAGCTTAATCTATAGTAATATTTATATTTTTATTTACCTTTAGCAGATCTGAATAACAATTTAATTCTCCTTTCTACTTTGCAATTTGATGCTAAGATGAAAATCCATTAAAGCATTAGTTTTATGAGGCTTTTACCAGATAGTAAGGAAAAGTAGTATCTTTTAAAAGAATAGTTTCTTACTATGTTTGCAGGCTTGCTCCTTATTTTTCACATGTATATGAAAATCATTTAAAATCAGGAAGCTCTGTATTCCCCAGATTCAGCTTTATCTTATTTAATTTGAAAAGTGTAGATCATTACCTTTGTGAAACTATGCAGATGTTACACTGACTAGTATCTGCTAAATTTTCTCTTTTTAACTGCAAAAATGGTTTTATTTTGTTTTATTTTGTATTTTCTAGGAGAGCATGGATTTGTTTAGATAATTTTCAACCCCCTCTTTTCTGTCCTAAAGTGAAAAGTATTTTCTCCATGAACTAAATTACACAAAAATATGTCTGCTACTTAACTGTATTGTAAAAAAACAAACAAACACAAAAACATCAAACATCAAAATGTTATTTTTGAAATTATTTTAATCAATTTTCTCTTGCTCAGGAAAGGCAAGAAAATGTCCAGAAGATAGTCTTAGAAGGCACAGAGAGAATGGAAGATCAGGTAAAGTACAGACTGCATACTCAAACACCACTATGCACATGGCATGTGTCTGTATAAGGATGAGGGCTACTTTGTTTAGGCTTTGAAGCTATGTTAGTTTAACAGTGAGCCTGAAAGTGAACAGAGCCTTCCTTTATGGAGATGTATGGCATAAACTGGATAAAAACTTCAATGTCTTAGACCCGAATAATTCAATGTAAAGGATAACAGTATTGGCATCTACAAATTAATATTTTAATTTAATTAGTATACACAGAGTAAGGTCTGAATAACTTAATTTATAGTCAAAATTAAAAATTGTATATGAGATTTTATTTAAGGTATTTTTCCTCAGACATTTTCTCAGATGTAGTTGTAACAGGTGGAAAGTGAGTACTCCTAAGGTATCTGTGGGTGTAGGCATAGCTCTAAGCATATTTCTTCGAAGTTCTATCTTTAAAACTCATGTAATTTACATTTTATTCTATGACATATCTATATTTGTTTTAGTATTGAAGTTTGCCAGAGATACTCCTCACCTTCATACTGATCAGGCTTCTAGTGATATCAGGTCTCTAGGAAAATGTACCATGTTTATCCCATGACTTTGAATACCCATGGAGAGCAGGCACCAGAGTTTGAAGAGCATGATTGAAGAGATGTGGCTTCCCCTGTGGAAATGAAATGCAAACCAGGGCAGAGAAGTTCTTCTGAAGGCGACTCTCGGATGGAGAAAGGCTTCTTTGCTTTTACTCCTGTTACCTGTGGCCACTCTCATTGCTCCCTCTGTTGAAATTCTAGTATGAACATCATGGATGGATTGCCTTTTCTCTGGTTCTCCTTAATACTCCTGACACAGAATGGTACTTTAAACAAAAACTTTTCTAAAAATTTGTGAAAATATAGGGACATTAAACAGGAAAATATAAAACTCTATAAAATGATCTCCTTTATAAAATTGTTATGTCTACACTTTCGTAAATAATTTTCCAGTCCAGAGGAGATAATTTTGCAGAATTGTCTGAGACTTATAAGACTTTACCCAGAGAAGCCCAGCCTTTGCTTGCTGATCAGTAAATAGCGTCTCAAGTAATGGGGTGACATTTACCAATCTCTAGTTATGGAGTAATTAGTAGAGTTATCTCAAGATAAGGAAATTTAAGACCCAGTAAAATTCTGCTTTTATTTTTTATCAAACCAGAAGCCTGTACTTACAAAATTAACCACTGTTAATAAATTTTCTTTTAATGGCTCTTCTTGAAGATATTATCCTATCGCTTCTATGTCCAGAGGAAAGTACACTTGGGACAAAGGTTTTTAAGGTGAAACATTCTCCAGCTGAGAAGTTCAAGTTAGAGACGTTGGAGGAGGAAAAGAAACTTGAGAGATTTTTTTAGAGCCTCACTGTGTACAGCCCTGTAGGATTTCTTTTTGTTAAGCTTCAGTGAGGATATCCATTTGTTTATGATGATAAATGTCAGATACTGCACATATGAACTACTACATATACCTAGACCTAAAGGAAGGTGTTTTCCCACAGTTATCCTTTCTGAAAACGAATTGCCTTGTAATTGAGTCCTTGCAAACCTCACATGATGTGCTTTCAGTGACTTTAACAGTTAATACTATTTGGGGATGACGCATTATCGTGAAACAACTTTAGTCATTGCTAGTTCTGGATGCTTACAGCTGTCATCTGCTAAAAATCGCTTTACAAGGAAGTAAATTTAACAAAAGCTTCAGTTATTGTTGATTTGCAATGTTATTGATTGTTTAATTGTATAAAAGCATTTAAAATATTAAAGCAGAAACAATAAGTGATTATATTGTGGAGGTTACTACAGGATGCATTTTTTTAAATAATAATACCTTCTTTGATACAAGGGAGTTTATGGCTTAGGATAAAATTTCCAGAGACAGCATCACATTTAAATTCTCAAGCAATTTATATGATAGGGGACTCTGAAAAACTGGATTAGGTCACTCAAAAAATGGCTGTAGGGATGACAGAGGTTCTAATTTGAAGATGCATGTGAAGAGTTTGAATAAAATTGTTTCATGAAACATGAGTGAGGAAAAATCTTGTTAGATTGATCATAAATATGTGCATTTTAAAAACATGTTTACCTAAAAATTGATAGACATATGACAATTTTACCTACATCTCTAAAAGTTTGTATGTTCAGGATGGTCAATACTTTAGGGAGAGTGGTGATGGTAGTGAATATATGAGGGATCACCCAAATTTAAGACACTTTACATTTGTGATGTTCTATATTATTTTCATTCAATTTCAGTCTAGAGATTTCAAAATTACATTTTTGAGGAATAAGAAGTAGTATTGTCTTGAAATAACTCTAAAGGAAACATTTTATTGATTATTAAAATATACATATATGATGATTTTGATTTGCATTTGGGTAAATTATGCCTTACTATGAATACAGAGTTTCAGTATTGATTGAGGTTTTACAACTGAGTTATTTGCTGAGGATTTCAACGTCTTTTTATCCTTGGTTTTCCTCATTTTTAGACATAAACTACATTGATGACCTTTATCAAGAGTTTTTATATCTCACATTTCAAAGGATATACTTTCTAAATTTATCATGGTGATTTAATTATGCATGTAATAGTAAATGATAAACCAATGATTCTATTCTGACTAAAGAAAATTATTTCCAGAAGAATGAAGATGAGTTTTAAATGGCACATAAATCTTTCAGCAATGTTTTGGAGTGGTAGACTTGTTTGCAGCTGTGTTTGAACAAGTCATCTAGTATTCTTATCAAAGAGCATTATTCTTTGCTTCGATGTTTAATTTTTTATTGTTCAGCTTCAACTTTGCTGTGTGATTTTTTTTTTTTACTTCATTTTACTTTTTTGTGCAGGGTCAGAGTATTATTCCAATGCTTACTGGAGAAGTGATTCCTGTAATGGAACTGCTTTCATCTATGAAATCACACAGTGTTCCTGAAGAAATAGATGTAAGTTTTTATTAATTTTATTAAATAGGAGCAATGGTATCCTTTATCAATTTCCTTGAGTTATATTACTATTATGTATATTAGTAATGTTCTAATTTTAGTAGTATTCATTTTTGTCATACATACTATTCATATAAAGCATTAGCCACTTTATCAAACACACCTAAAATTCTGAAGTTTTTTGCCAAACAGAGGCTCTTTGGTCAGTGATAGTTAAAACATTAAATTTATTTATGTGACCATTTTCGTATTTCCCAGAAGTGGGGAAATTTTAGATCTTATAGAAGCAATCGGTAAGGCAGTACTTTTGGTAACAAAACTGTACAAATCAGTGGCCCTTAATGGAAGATTACTCACATTCACTTATCTAGTTTCCTTAATCATTTGTTGAGGACATTTTGAATCACACGCTATGCATATATAGGGAAGTCTTTAGGAAACTGTTGTTGTTATTTTCTGACATTTTTGTCATTAAGATTTATCTCCTGATTCTGATAGCTCAGAAGAGGAGGAGATTCTTGTAAAAATTGTTGCTAAACCTGCCTGACCAGCTTTTGCATTTGTTCTTCTGAACAAGTTTGTGGTAGTACACAGAGATTGTTTTATGGAGAGTCTTGATTTTAAGGAATGAGGGCAATGTATTATGTTGAACCTAGACTTCAGAAAACCTGTGTATTAAAAGTTATTTCAGCAATATGTTATACCAGAATTTTTTTTTTTTTGGTACATTTTAGATAACTGATACAGTTCTCAATGATGATGATATTGGTGACAGTTGTCATGAAGGCTTTCTTCTCAAGTAAGAATTTACTTTCTTTTTATAAAAGCTGGATGAAGCAGATACAAATCTTATGTTCAATTATGACAGGATTTAGAAGGACGTAAATAACAACATGTCTACCCCGGATTATTCTAGGGACAACATTGTGTATTTGACCTATTGCTTATCTTTGTGTTATTTTGTCATTTATTACATGTCTGTGATATATTTGATGTTACTCTTCTTAATATTTAAAAAACTGAGTTTTCATAGTATCTGGACAAGAAATCTTGGTCCTTTGGTTCTCGTTTCTTGTTTTAGTTCTCATTAAAACTGAAATGAAGAACCCTTTCAAAGTAAGTTGCATTGCGGATAGACTTGAGTTATTTGGTCTTAGAAAATAAAATTATTTACATTTTTATTCACTCTTTCTATCTTATAGTGGGTTCTAAAATGAGATTTCCTACTGTGTAACCCTGGGAAAACTACCTGAACTCTCTGTGCCTCCATTTCCTCATCTGTAAAATGGGAATAATAATACTACCTACTTCATGAGATGATTGTAAGCGTTGAGTGAGATAAATCATATTAAGCATTTAAAACAGTACCTGGAACATAAAAACACATAATAATGGCTAACATTTTTAATTTATATTTCTTCTAAGGAAAAATGATAGTAATAGTAACCAGCAATAATAGCCAGTGTTTATTGGATGCCTACATATTATTCCCTATACTAAGTGCTTTCTCTACATGTATAATCTCATTCTTCCACTTTAGTGTTTTTTTACAATCGCAGATTATCGTGAAATTTTATTTTTTAAAATGGAATCTTAGAGGCTTGAGCGTGTTTAACCTAAAAGCCTTAAATGGCTTGAATCAGAAGTGCATTAGTGCTGATTCTGTTCAGTGTCATTCATTCATTATATTATTTTTAATTCCATTTGACTTTAAATAAATCATTTAATCTCTCTACACATCAGTTTCTTCCACTATAAAATGGTGATATTTTACTAACTGTGTTGTTATAAGGTTCAAATGGGAGAATCTCTGTAAAAGGCATGTGGAAAATGTAAAGTACCATAAAAATAAAGATGGCTATTATGCTTGTAGTTTTGGAGTTTCTCATGTAAAGCTATTCTAAGTTTTTTGAAGCTCACGTGCCTTTATTTTTTTTTAGTTTGTGAAATTGTTTTACAGCCAATGTTTTTAATTTTTTTTCTTGAATTTATAGTGCCATTAGCTCACACTTGCAAACCTGTGGCTGTTCTGTCGTAGTAGGAAGCAGTGCAGAGAAAGTAAACAAGGTAATTTATTTTATAATCCAGCAAATCTGTCTTTTTAATACTGCTAACGTATTATGGATTGTAATTTAAAGGTTAGGTCACAGTCAAGATGATCTAATAGTATAACAAGGCAATATAATCTGACCAAATTACTGGGACACCCTATGGGAAAAATAAGTTTAAAGTAAACTGTTTGAATAAGAAGTCATTAGTTTCATTTTCGATAACATAAATACTGGTCTCAGTATAAATCATATAATAGTTTCGAGATTATTTTAAAATCAGATATTTAAAAAAATTTGTCTTCTATTTTCTGATGTTATCTTTACTATGAAGATAGCCATATACTTTTGGTATGAATTCCAAAGAAATGTCTGATCACCTTGATTTTATTTTCTTGCTTTTCCCCCTAAATATATCCATTTTAGGGACCATTTGCTATTAAGTGGTCAATGGAGGTTATACTTTATTTAGTAATGTTTGTGACCACTTCATTGCTACACGAGTTACCAAAGAATTAATGAACAATTACCTTTCCAAGCATTAGACCCAAACTAAGAGATTTTGTACTTTTCTTCACTGATCATTAATTAGAAAGAGATTAAGTATACATATCTATCAATTTAAGCAAACCTATTTTGTTAAGTTTTATACAGGAAATATGCTAGGAGTGATTATTTGCTTAACAAATATATTTATAACTTTTTTCTGTTTTAAGCTACCCTGTATATTTACATGACCCTTAATTTACCAAAATTATATTTCTCATACAACCATTTATGAGAGATACGTTTACCTTAATTATTTTACTGCATCTAGTGACTAGTGATATTATTTCTGTTACCCCAAGAAAGTAGCTTTCTATCTGTGTACCCTAAAGTCTTTGGGTTCCATGGAGGGACTTCCCAGTCACTTCTTGGAGGGAGAAAGGCCGTATGGGACTACGTGTTTTTTAAACATTTTTTCTCATCATACATTGTGTTCTGGATTAATAGCTTCCCTTTTATCTTTTTAATTTGAGAAAAAGCTTCCCACTGCTCTAGATTGTAAACCACTGCTTTAATATAAAAACTCTGAATGTAGTCTGAATTCCAGCATAGTTACATGGTATAGGGAAGGAAAAATAAATTTCTCTTCACCCTTCTAGGTTCTTGGCTGAGACTCCTTTGTAATAAGACAAATTAACAGGAGAAAAACAAACAGAAGCTTAATAACATGTATACCTCCTGTATACATGGGAGATATGCAGAAAAACTGAGTAACTCCCCAAATGGCCCAAGCCTTCACCTTAAATACTATCTTCAGCCAATGACAAAAGATGTTTGGGGGTAGGGATGTGGGAAGGCCTATTGATCGATTACGAGGAAAAGCACAGTAATAAGGGTACAGTTATGCAGTTCCAAGTCCTTGCTTTCTCCACTGTTAAGAGATTCTAGAGATTTAGTCATCCTCTTCCTGGTACAGAGAGGGATACACCTTTACAAATGGAGATTTCCCTTATAAATTTAAGTGTCTCTTAGAAAAGGATAACTTTCAGGGTTTCTACTGTGTCTACTATTTCTTAAAAATAATCAGCCTAAAATAATCCTTTTGCCAAAAAGGTATATTTGGGGGTGGTAAATTCTGCTCCCTTTCAAAGGCTTTTTACTTGCCCTAATGGATTTATGGACCAAATCCTGTTAGAATCATAGGTTTCTAAACCCCAACCAATGGCTTGTTTATTTTAAATCAAATTTGATAGAATTAGTTCTTGTTCTTTTGAAGGATTTGAACACTCCTTCATATTCATTATAATGGGATTTCACATGTAGAACTCTTAAACAAAAGCCTAATTCTGAGTGATTTAACAGCATTTAGTTTTTCTTGTCCAAAATTGTGTGCTTGTTTGAAAAGCACTTGGCGCTGGGCAAAGATACAGTCAATAATTATACTTCCTACTGAAATAAGGGTTCCAGGGTCAAATAAGTTTGAGAAAATCTGCATATGATATCAGTCATCTGGATAATTAACAATATGTATTCAAATGTCAAAAGTTTTGAGTTATCTTACAGTAAATTTACTAGCATTTCCGAAACTTATTTGACTACAGAATACCTGTTTTAAGCAACTGATATAGCTCATGGACTATTCTGGGTGACTAAGGAATACTTATTTCTCAGGATGTATTTTATTGGTGAAAACAATTTTAGTTTCTTTCATAAGCAAACCAATGGTGGTATTTGTGTGTGTGTGTGTGTGTGTGTCACATTTTAATGCTAAAATATTTTCTTTTACAGATAGTAAGAACATTATGCCTTTTTCTGACTCCTGCAGAGAGAAAATGTTCTAGATTATGTGAAGCAGAATCATCATTTAAATATGAGTCAGGACTTTTTGTCCAAGGCCTGCTAAAGGTATAGTTTCCACATGTCACAAGTGAAACCAATTTTGAGTCTCTATAAGTATGTTTTGAATGTTAACATTGAATGCATCTCATGTTTATATGCCAAGGGGCTGATTTCCTTTACACAGATCTGAACATAGGTATATGTCTTATGAATTTATAGTTAATGTCAGTGAAACATCACAGAATATCTTTCTTTGTGTTTCTCTTTGGTTTCTTTTAGCTGCCTGTCTAGCCTTAGGATTTTTTTTTTTTGTATGTGCTTGAATCAGGTTGCATGTCTAAATAGGAACATTCTTTTTTACTGAACAGATTTTAATTTTGTGTTACCATTTTGTGCTTATGTACCATATTCATTTATTGAAGAAAAATTTAAAGCTGCTTCCTATCTCGAAAAAGTGTTTAAGATTTGATCAATTCCTATGCGTGTGTATACACACACACACACATATGAAAAATTACTTTACATTATTTTTAATTTGCCGAGTCTGCTTTTCAAGGAGCAAAAGAGATAAATGTAAATTAGCCATTTTCACTAATTATAAGGAAGACAGTTATTCACTTTATTGAACCCAATATTGATGTTCAAGTATAATCAAACATGTGAAGAAGTAGATTTCCTAATGGTTATGTGATTTTCTCATGGTGGATGCTTTCGTGAGGATGTAGACATAACACATGAAAGAAAAAATATTAAAAATTGTTGCAAATAAAAGTTACATTCAGCTTTTGTATTTTCAATAATGTCCATGCCGTGCACTCAAAGTAATAGTATTTAAGTACAGAAACTGCTTAAGGGAAACTCATTTCCAATTTGAATTGTACAAATCTGAAAATTAGAACTTCTTATCAAAGGCAGAAGGTACTTAGACTTTTATTTTCTTAGGTCCCTCTCATTTAATTATATAACTTTATTCCTGAAAGGATCCTATACCAGATGCATAGAAGAAAAACTTGAAACTATAATTTAATGAAAAAATATGTGTAAAGAATTTTCCATGCAACTATAAATTGTATAGCCTTTCAGAAAATGCTTTGACATTATATATTAAGAGCTTTACAAATGTTTAAAAACTTAACCTACTATTTCTACCTCTGGAAATATATCCTAAGGAAGCAATTATGTATGGAGGAAGATTTACTTATAAAGGTGATTTATCACAGCATTATAAAAGTGAAAAATTGAAAATAGCCTTTGTCTTCTGTTTTCTTCATAGCACATAGCATAGTGCCTCATATATAGTATGTCCTTGTTTCATGGCAACTCAACTCACTAAACATGAAAAGTATATTTTTTACTTTTAAATCTGAACATAGATTGTTGAGATTTAGAAGAGCATAGGAATAGTCAAGAACAACAGGTTACTTGTAATCTCACAATTCAATGAATATCCACTGCTGATATTTAGCAGATATATTTCTGGTCTTTTTTCTTCTGTATTTTTTTTTTCCACATATCTCTCCCCACCAAAAAAAATTGGTTTATACTCCACATATTATAACCTGCTTTTTTCACAATATGTTGTGAATATTCTTCAGTATCAACACAAACTTCAGCTTAATCATTTCTCTTTTTGGATGCTTAGGTTGTTTCTGTCACTATAAGTTTGCATGTAATCATGATTAATATCTGGGTATAAGTTTCTAGAGATTGATTTGCTAAATCAAAGCCAGTTTTTTTTTAATTTAAAAAATAATTATTCGTATCTTATGGCCTAAAGACAGTACGTTTTCCATTCATTACGACAGGATTCAACTGGAAGCTTTGTGCTACCCTTCCGGCAAGTTATGTATGCTCCTTACCCCACCACCCACATAGATGTGGATGTCAATACTGTCAAGCAGATGCCACCCTGTCACGAACATATTTATAATCAGCGTAGATACATGAGATCAGAGCTGACAGCATTCTGGAGAGCCACCTCAGAGGAAGATATGGCTCAGGATACGATCATCTACACGGACGAAAGCTTCACTCCTGATTTGTATGTAATGCCCTGCTTTTTGGTATTGTCATTAAGCAATATTATGAAATTATATCTTTTATGAGTAATAACAAAACAAATGAGTCTGTGTTTAAAATCAAAGAAATATTACTAGGAGAATTATGCTCAAAGATCTATTTGGTTAATCAAGCATTTTTTTCTTAAATATGTTTTTCTAAATATAATTGTGTTTCCCATAAGATAGATTAGATTAGACATTAAAATACTTATTTAACTATTAATTTAACAAATATATATTGAGCCCCTAGGCACAGTACTAGGTGCTAAGGTTAATATCTTATAGACAGCGTCAGCTCTCATGTTGCTTACAGTCTAATGTATAAGAAGAATCACTAGAAAGGTTATTAACTAAAATAGAGCAGTAATTCTCAGTCTTTTTGTCTTGATATAGGAATATAAAATACAACAAAAATGTCAAAAAATATTAATAGAGCATTCTTTTACTTTGCATTTTATATCATGGTATTCGTTTCTTGCCGTAAAATCTGATCAGTAAATTAAAAAGATAAAAATGATAATAATGATAATAAAATATTGATTGTGGACTCAATTAGGAAAAAACGTAGTATTGACAAATCTGAATTATAAAACCCCGAGAATATACTTAAACGATGTTTTGAAATCAAGAAAAGAATTGTAGTATACTGTTATGGTTTTCTGTAATCAATTTAAAGTGTCTGGCACCTAGAATGTGCTCAATAAATATTAACTAGAATGATACAGGTTTAAGTATATAAGGAAGCAGTAAAATTGGAGCCAGCAACCTTGTCCTTTGTTTCTAAAAAAAATTTTGAGCTGATGCAGCAGACAAGTGGAGCATCAGTAGTCACGCAGGTGCTGAGGTGTTGACCAAAATCATAGAAAAAGAAGACTGTATCCAAGGGAGCCCCAGCTTCATTTGTCAATAGCTACAGAAAGATGACTTTATTAGGACCCATCTTTTCCCAACTCTCCAGTGTTCTTGTTGGTTCCTTACAAAGTTTTCAGGGAGGTAGTGTAGAAAATAACTTGGTCAAAATTGGAATCCAGGTCACTAAGTTTTCACATGTGGTATTGGTAATTTTGGTACCCATGTAGAAATTCTCAGAATTAATTTGTTCCTTTAAGCATTTTTTTCTTCCCTAAAGTGTTTAGTGTTTTTTCTCTTTTTCGATTGTTTGCTTCAAAGGTCTTTGGTGAGGAGGGGGGAATTTGGTGAACTTTAGAATGGGTTTACAACCATCTAGTTTTTTTTTTTAGAGAACACATACGTATACTTTAACATTTCTTAGTCATTTTAACCTGTTAGGTTTACTTTGCTAATTTGACAAACTATGATCAGCCAACTATTCTTGTTTTGCTGATCATAACAAAATGATGTCACGAATTTTAAAATTTCCTTCCAGTTCTAAGTAAGTTTTCTGAACATAAAATTGTCCAAAAATATTTTCAACAACTAGATTATGTATTGTTAAATTTTACATATTTTAGACAAATTTTGCTTTTTAGTTTATTTTAAATAATATTGCAAATTTTTAAAGATATTTTTAATTTTAACATTTAAAATTTATTTCAGTCACTGCCACTACATGAAAAATCAGTCACTAAAAATGTTTTTTAACACTTTGCTTCATTTAATTCACTATACGACCAAAACATTCATTCAGTGAAATAGGCATATTCAGAACACTAGACCTAAATGGCCTTATTCTCTCTCCAAAGCCAAATAAGGGTGCTGTCAGTACCCACATTGGCCACAAAATGGACAACCAGTAGTTGTGAAATGCTTATTTTTTTCTTTTCTTCTCGGTTTCCTTCTGTTGTTTGGTACACCCATCTCCCAAAACTAGGAAATTTTAGGTACTTTCCTATTTACCTCTGCACACACACCTCTTTTCTTGCCACTCCTATCAGTTATATGATGATCTCTACTATTTTCAGTCTTTTCAGTTAAAAATCATTTACCTTATTAAGTATTATGTTACCATCTGACTTTGTATAACCTAGCATCTCAGTAAATTCTTTAAGGAAGTAGAAAGCAAGTAGCAGGAAGGAGAAAAGAAAAAATTAAAGGGAGTTCGGGCCTGGGAAGGGAGCAATTTTTTTTTTTTTTAAGCACCTGCTATATCCTAGGCGGTGTGTTAGGTACACCTTCTTTCAAGTGTGCATTACATCTTAACATCTTACTCTGGTCATTGCCAAGGTAGGTAACACTTTCCTAGAACACCAGCTCATTCATGTTACTTCCTAGATGATGAGACTTGTTGATGCAAACTCAGTGGTGCTGATGTTGCAGATAGTTTTCTAGGTGTGTTCCTTAATCCCACTCAAATGATTCTTAGCATTCATCCTTTTACCTTTTTTTCATCCTAAAATGTTTATTAGAAGTTATTAGTATATAAAGTTAACCTTTTGTTTTTGTTTTTGGTGGGAGTGGTGTGTGTTTATTTTTATTGCTGTTGAGATGGCAGGAATTGGTAATTATATTTACCAATTATTTAAGGCTCTCAACATTTCTTTATAAGGGGAGGATACTATATAGGTTGGTGTATATTACATATCCTGCTTGGGACTGCTTATATCTTTAAGAAAAAATAATTACATACTGGCCTGACAAAGCCAGTAATATACAAATGTATCTTTGAGCTAAAATGAATGTATATTTTATATTTTCAAATACATCTAATTTTTATAAATATGTTTATATATAATATCCCATATCTAAGAATTTAATTTATTGGCTAGAGTATAGGATTATGGAAGGTAGCATTGTACAGCCATTTCAGCATTTGAACTGTTTTCTTCATAGGAATATTTTTCAAGATGTCTTACACAGAGACACACTAGTAAAAGCCTTCCTGGATCAGGTAGGTGTTAAACGTAAGATTGTCATAGTGAATGATGTGACACATTTCTCTTCTAATATATCCTACAATGCCTGTACTCTATCTGTAACATCATAGAATTAAGTCATTATCTTTTTGTGGTGTCTCTGGTCTTTCTTAAAGTGTCTAAGTGATTTTTTGAATTATGAATAGCAGCCTGAATATTAATAATTAAAAATGCAGTATTCCCCAATTCAAATAATGTTTTCAAGTCTAAGCACTAACCTATAACTCAAGGTATTTTCTTTTTGGGGATGGAGGGAAAAGGTACATAAATGTTTTTTATTTGCCTTGAGCCAAAAATGTCTTTAAAACTTAGTATACTTCTGTTTAAATGATAGCATCTTTATTGTCTCATTCTTTTGAAAAAATTCTGCTTAAATATACATTTGAAGAAAATTATACTTTTTATAAGACTTATTTCCTAATATAACAGAGCTTTGTTATAATATCATTCTGGGGATCAGGCCAGGAAACATTGTCTTAAATGTAACTTTGAAATAATGAAATCCTTAGGTTAACTAGAAATTTTCGATCCAAATATGTGGTCTATGACATATTTCAAAGTTCAGGGATAATTTGTAGTCATGTAATTCCATGTTTCTCCCATGTTTCTCAAGCAGAAATAAAATCCTACTACACCTATACCCTTCCCCCCAACAAAAGTACTAGAGGATTATGAATATCTCAAAATCATAGTCTAAGCATGGCTCAACTTCTGGAAACTTCCATTTTATTCGACAATGTGGGCAGAAAAAGTCAAGTAACACAGTTGGAAGTAACTTACATTGTGATTTTTTAATAGTAAAAAAAATATGCATATATTTATTCTGAGGTAGAATGCGAAATTTGAGTCTATTTGAGTCAGATTGCTTCTAGACTCACTCAGTACTTCCACCATACTCCTTCCTGTTAAGGGACTGCTCTAATGCGTGTGACCTGCCAGGTGCTATTAATGTTGTGATAGAAACATGCTATGTAAGTAGAATGAGAACAAAATATTTATTAAAATGCTTCATTTTCCTGTAGGTCTTTCATTTGAAACCTGGTTTATCTCTCAGGAGTACTTTCCTTGCACAATTTCTGCTTGTCCTTCACAGAAAAGCCTTGACGCTAATAAAATATATAGAAGATGATACGTAAGTAAAACTGTATGGAAGAAAGACTTTTGTGCATTGTTTTTGTTTTGTTCCCTTTGGACATTTTCAATATTACATATACATTTTTTTCGTTATTTGTAGGCAGAAGGGGAAAAAGCCCTTTAAATCTCTTCGGAACCTGAAGATAGACCTTGATTTAACAGCAGAGGGCGATCTTAACATAATAATGGCTCTAGCTGAGAAAATTAAACCAGGCCTACACTCGTTTATTTTTGGAAGACCTTTCTATACTAGTGTACAAGAACGAGATGTTCTAATGACTTTTTAAATGTGTAACTTGTTAAGTATATTTTGTCACAGTCATTATTGCTGCTAAAATAGCTCAGTGATATGGGACATATCAGTCCCTCAGGTCATACCCCAGAATCCTACTCAGCAATGGCAGTTAAGCTTAGTTACACTACAGTCGTCACAAGAAGTCTACAAGGGGATGTCAGGTGCGTTGTTAACAATGGGTACATCTTTTCCTTTGATGTGCTTTCTTGGGATACAGACTTATGTTTACAATTATAATAAATATTATCACTGTCTTTTAAAGACATAGGGATAGCATATAAACTTGACCACAACTACTGTTTTTTGAAACTTAGGATTCATGGTTTACATGTATCAAAGTGAAGTCTGAGTTAGCTTTCACAGATATAATACTAGTTGACTTTCCATCTTTTGGTGTTTCTTAGTATATGGGATTACTGTAATACTATTGTGATTAGCTGAAAATTAGAGCATCTGAAATATTTCAGTTCCATAGACAGGAAGTTAACTTGAACCTAGCATAAGCTTTAGGAAAAAAATATTGGTCAAGCAGATGTTTAATTGAAATTCATTTTTAGATCCTACTTGTAGACTTAGTCCTTCAAATTCAGTCTGTGTAGATATGTCAAGCAGTGTATATCGTCCCAATTATGATAAACTACAGTCAGGGTGGTTTTAGTTTGTTAAGCTCTGTCAGAAAATATAACAATTGAATTTTATGTTTTAGTAGATGTTGCCAACTTTTTAAATTAATTTTCATTATTTTGAGCCAAATGGAAATGTGTACCTCCTGTGCCTTTTTTTTCCCTTGGAAAATATAATTACTTAGAAGAAGTTCGTATTTCACTAGTCAGTTATTTTCATCTTGTTTTCTTCTTGTATAGTCTTACCCTGATTTGGCAATCATTGTAACTTAGAGATTATTAAATGCAATAGAGAATGTACTAGCTAGTAATATGTATTTTCAGAAATAGAAAATAGTATCTTGTCTTCTTCTTGCTTATATTTCTGTGCATATTTTTGAAGTTATTGCCATGTCTCTGCCTGCATTACATGAGGAATAGCAAGAGAAACTTTACTGACGTGCTATTATACTAGGTGCTACTTAAGCAGAACTAAGTGGTCTATTTCTTTTGTTTCCTTAATGTGTTTAAACCATTTTGTTAGCTATGAAATAACTGATTAACGTAATTCTGTGCTGGAATAATGTTGACATAGTAATATATATAAGCATAAAAAGTGTTTTTATTTAAAACTGTGGAAGTGACACAAAAGGGACAAATATTTATAAGAAAGGGATAAAAGTAATAGAGCGCCTCTGCCCTTACCCACCAGATTTAACCAAAAATATGTTCTGTTGTAAAAGGTCTTAATAGCCTTTAATGTCACTAATAAGAAAGTTGTACAGTTTGATTTTTAGACACACACACTGAACTTGAACTGCTCTGTAGCTCAGTCATGAAAAACTGTACAAATACCATGTTGTACCCCTTACTCAATGTTTTTTTATATGATAGATTATTTAAGTGCTGACTAATTTTTTTTTCTGGTTTATTGTATTGTTACACAGAGTGCAAGTTGTATAGTGAAATAAGTTATTAAAGCATGTGTAAACACTGCTACATATATTTTCTCCTAGAAGGAGAATTTTGAATAAAATATTTTTGAAATTTTGTCTCCTACAATTATTTGTTCAGAAAAGCCTTACTATGATATTGAAAGATTGTTTTTCCTTCAGCTGACTGTCATGTTGAACCTAAACTAGATTTTTTTTAGTTTTCCTTTTGAAAGAAAATACGTTTAAAGATTATGATTCTGGTGAGGGGGGACCAAAGTTTGCCCCCCCCAAAATAAGCCTTTTGGGATATTGATTATTATAAGCTGGTTATTTTTTAGAAACAAAAGACTCAAAAAGAACCTTCGATCTTCTCCCTAACTGCCTAAATATATTTAGATAGAGTACCTGCTCTAGGAAAGGAGATACCATAGATAACTATAGTTAATATGAAACATGAACTAAGTATGATAAGCAGGGAGGAACATAGCAAGGGAGGCCCTTTTGATTAAAGTCTGTAGTTAAAGATGGCGTGGCAGATATTTACCAAACATTTGCTTTTCTGTCTCAATGTGAATTGCTTTCCTTCTATTCAAGATCCCAAGACACAAACTCCTCCCCCTTTCTCCTTAGCTCGAAATGGCATATAAGCCTTAGCTGCTTGATATGTCCTGGTGTCTCATTTTCTTAAGGAGCCCCCATATGTACATAAAAAATAAATTTGGTCATTCTCTCCCGTTATTCTATCTCATGTTAATTTGGTAATTATTCCAGCCACAAGAACTTAGAAGGTGGAAAGAAAATTATTTTTTCCACCCCCACACTGGAATCTTATGTTGTTTTTGTTGTTTAAAAAGGCTTTCAGCTTATAACTCCCAGGGTTACATTTTGATTTTTAAAATTTATATATATATTTAATATTTCAAGTGTAAGATAATGGGGTAAATTCTCTTTAAAAAATTCCTGTTATAATAACATTAACAAAACCTAAGCTGGTTATTCTTTCCAGTTAATCAGTACAGGTGTCCAAAATGAAAGTGGAAGCATTCTATGCCCTTTAATCTGAAAAGAAAGAAGATTTGACATTTTTCCACAGAAAGAAAATTAATTCATAAATATAACAGTCGAGTTAAAAGGTTTCTTTAAAAGACTGGTTAATTGCATTGCTAAGATTCTCAAAGAAGAAACCAAAACTTTTTATGATTCTATTTTGTCTCCTTTGTTGGTTCATTACCTGTAATTCTGTTTTATTATTTTAGTGATTGCTTTAGGATTATAGCAAGTGATATTACCACTTAACATACAATATAAGTATGTAGTTTAAGAACTTTATAATAACATACTTCCATTTCTCTTTTCTCGCCTTTGTGCTGTTGTTGGTTTACATTTTATTTCTACATCTATTATAAATGTCACACTTTATTACAATTATTTTTTCTTAAATAGTCAATTACTGTTTAAAAGAATTTATAAATATCCTAAACATCCTAATTAAAAGGCAGAGATTGTCAGATTGGATAAAAAATACAATGCCCAACTATATGTTGCAAATAAGAAACTAATCATAAAAATAAAAGACAAACATTAAAAGTAAAAGAATAGAAAAAGGTATACTAATGCTAATCAAAAAGAAAGTTGTAGTAGCTATATTATTAATATCAGAAAAAGTAGATTTCAGAGCAAAGAATATTACCAGAGATAAAGATAATTTCATAGTATTTAAAGGGATCAGTTCAGCAAGAAGACATAATAGTCCTAAGTGCTTGTTCATTTAATAACAGCTTCAAAAATACACAAAGCAAAAACTGAAAGAACTGTAAGGTGAAATAGACAAATCTACAATTGTAGTCAGAGATTTGAGTATCCCTCTGTCAATGTTCGATGGAACAGGAAAACACGAAATCAGAATATAGAACAAGACTATGAACTGATTTGATGTAAGCGACATAGAACACAGCAATACCCAACAACAGATTACACATTATTTTCAAGAGCACTGGAACATATTCCAAGAGAGACCACATTATGAGCCATAAAACAAGTCTCAATAAACATAAAAGGATTCAGGTCATACAGATTATAATCTCCGATCACATGGAATTAAATTAGAAACCAATAACGGGTATCTAGGAAAACCTCAAATAGTTGGAAACTAACACTTTTAAAAGATTAGATAATTTCTAAATTGTGTGTGTTTGGGGAATATGAGGAAATGGATTGGAGAGCAGAAGCAGAGGGAGATGTCAGGATTGCAGAATGATTTTTATGAAGAGTGGGATTCATTCTGCCTTAGGTATCTCCCTGCTACAACCCATTCTTCACGTGGATAACAATGTAAATCATTCTAAAATCTGATGATGGCTTCTGTTTAACGGCTCTCTGTATCATTACAAAATTAAATCAAAACCTTTGCAACATGGTTTCTTTTCAACCCTCTAACCTCTGTCTCACTTTCTCACTTTTTGCTTCCTAGTACATTTCTTTGGTTCCATCTGTTACACTATTCTGCTTCTCTGTCTCCACTAGGCTAGAGAACAAGATCCATGTCTTTTTCATTTTTGTATTTCAGTTCCTGGCGTGGTGCTAGGCATGAGGCAAAAGTTGAATGAATATGACGAGTATACTGAACATCATTTTCTTTGTCCTCTCCAAAAAGAATCAGTTCCTGCAAATTAAGGAACGTTTTTTCCCTTCAAAGTCCTTCATTAAAATTGAGCCTATGTACAACCTAGCTCTAAAATTTCAAAGACCTTAAGGCAGTGATTTTCAACCTTTTCCAAGTAGTAATACCCTATCATTTTCTGTTCCTGCATTTGTGCCTCACTACTCCATCTCTTGCTGAAATGTCCTCTTTAGATTAATAGCTGGATAAATTGCTAAGCAGTTTTCATAACACCAATTAGGACAGTGGTAAGTATCCATCTGTGGAGTGTGGACATTTAAGAAATCTGATCCCATATTTAGAAAATCATTCCTGAGCTCAGAGTTGGCTCAAACTGGCACCTTCTGGCACTTGCTTGTGGGTGGGGAATGTGGAATGCTTTGAAAGCTGAATGGATTTGTCAAGTTTTAAAATACTCTTATGGCTGAAGGAAAACAACATTCATTGTTTAAAAACACCATTGTTTGTTTTTTCTGCTTTTCTGTTCTTTGTAGCCTGAATCTGCAAAAGCATTCACACCCAGCATTTTACTTCATTACTTCTCCTAATACATTTCTGGAGACTATGAGTTGGAGATGTGAGTGGCATGTGATTGTTCAGAATATTCAGAACCAATTAAAAATGTTCGTTTTAATGCGTATGCTGATTTCTATGGAGAAGGAGCATATTTCTGACAGTATAGGCAGATAGTAGAGCTAATAGGATTATGGGTCCTGAAGTCAGACTTCCAAAGTATGAATCCCTGTTTTTCACTTCTCAGCTGTGTGACCTTGGATAAGGTTTTTGACCTCTCTGTGCTGCCTCAATATCTTCATCCATTAAATAGGAATAAGAATAGAATATCATTGGGTTGTGTGAAGAATAAGTGTGTTAATACATGCAGAATGCTTGGAAACGTAACTGTCACAGAGTAAGTGAACCATAAAATTTAGTTACCGCTGTTATCATTTTGTCATTGTCATTATCACTAAGCAGCTGAATGTAGAGTTCCCATATCTGATTATTAAACCACGACAATTTTACAGTCATGATTCCCATATCTGATTATTAAACCACGACAATTTTACAGTCATGATTCTAGGTGATACCACCTCAGTAGCAAGGTTATTTTATTAGCTTGAACCCATCCCTACTTCGTTGCATATAGCAGAAAGGATAAAGTCGTTCTAGGGTATGAGAGAGAGTGCTATCCAGAGGCCCATCCTGGTTTTCAAATTTGTCCACTTCATTCCACCTCCACTGACACTATTAGGACCTCGTCATTTCTCATCCAGATTAATTCAACAGCTTTCTGTCTTCTGGCCTCCATGATTTTACCCATTAACCATCCTCATTCCTCCTGCCCAATCCACTTTCTCCACAGAAGGTAGAGTGATCTTTCTAATATTATCTCATTTTTGATCTCCTTACTCACTTGATTTAAAAAACCCTCAATGACAGCATTTGACACAATATAAAGCCCGCGATCCATGGTGAGAGCAGGGCTTTAGAGATCTGACCCCAGCAAACCTCTTCACCCCTTTCTCTCACCACTCCCCCTCGTTGAGTTTGCAATCCCCCAGCTCACTTTATTCTCATCACTGGCTTATGCACATGCTTCTCCTACTGCCTGAAATACTTACCTCTTTCACCTGCATGAACTTATACTTGTTAATCAAGATTCACCTTAGGTTGGTGTCAAGTTCTTCCAGGCCCCTCCCTCAACTTCAGATTTAAAGCATTCCAGACTTTAAGCCATGAGGTAAGGACCATGTCTGTGCACTAGCTTATATCTAATTGCCTGATACATACATACAATGTTGAATTAGTTACCCTCTATTCAGAGCTCTTGCAGGTTTCTGTGCTTGTAGCCCTACTGTACTATTTAACTCACTATGCATCATTGTTATGGGTTGGTTTGTCTATTACACCATGAGCCCCACAAGGCTGGTCCTCATCTTATATATTATTGTATCTCCAGCTTCCAGCATAGTGCCTGCCATGAACAGGAACTCAGTAAGTTCTGAAAGAATTAGTATCTGCATATTATCAATCTCAGGTTTAAAGTTCCCCCAAATTCTGAAGCAAGGGGATTTATGGAAACTCCTTGGCAGTTATTGGATAGTATCCCCATTGACACCATTAACAATTTAAGCAAAAGCTTGCATGCGCATTTTTCTGGCTGATGGGTTCATAGCCACTTTCAGATTCTCAGAAAGGTTTCTGATTTTCCCAAAGGTAAGAATCTATGTTCTAAAGAGTTATTTTTAAAAAACAATTGTTAAGTAAAATGTTTACAAAGTAGTGTGAGAGTCAGCCCATTTGACCTGGATGAGGAAGCGGATTTCCATCTCTACAGCCTGACTACTTCCAGTAGTCTCCCTGCTGCTGGACTGGCTACAATTGGCCGCAGCGGGTGTTTTTCCTGGACAAATATCTATTTGTGATGCCCTTTCTCACACACACCTGTAGGAGCAGTGAGAGAC